GTAAAGCCAAAAATGTCTTGTTTCCACAAGTTTGGAGCTGAAAATAAATCTCAAATCTGATTCAGCTGAATGTCAGGATTTTATATTAGTGCAACAGCCGATTAACTCGTCGAGTACCGTCATTATAGACACAATTATAGAACAATAGGTTGCGGTCACCGGTGACCGCTTGGTGTTTGACAGTTTAATTCATTCTATCGGTGTTAAATGCAGAATTTATTTTCAAATCCGAAGGTTAATAAAAATTGTCTTTAGTTAGTCAAATGCCCCATATTTATAATGCAAATATTAATACAGGTTGGCTAGCAAATTCAAGACAGTTGTTAGTTCACTATAAAATAGTTATACCACCCAGAGTGGATGTTACTTGCGCGTTCTAACATGACAATGTCTGTTTGAGTATCGATGAGCAATAATTAATTATTGTTGCCATAAGTGAGTGACGCAAGTGACACGTGATAAACTTTTCAACGTGCCCGTAATAAGTGAAATTTAATATTTCGCGGTCTTTTAAGCCGATATATAAAGTGCCATACTGCCTCGTTTGCTGAGTGGGACTGCCTCGTTGGTTGAGTGGTCGCAAGTGCGACTGCCGGGCAAGGGGTCTCGGGTTCGATTCCCGGGTAGGGCAAACAAGTACTGGGTTTAAAAAAAAAAATCTCAGTAGTAGCACGGAGTCTGGAATTGTGCCCGGTATGCATGGCAATAGGCTCACCCCCTATTACATGGCACTCAGAACATAAATATTGAAAAGTGGGTGTAACATTCTACAGTGGCATAATGTGAACCTCTGCCTATCCCTTCGGGGATAAAAGACGTGACGTTATGTTATGTATAAAGCGCCATATGGTTTTTGGATTACGACTATCTGCAGAATTTGGTTATTTGTCGGTATTTTATACAACACAGATTACTAATGAGGCCATTAATCCCGATGATTCACTTTCATCACATTGTTCATCGACACACATTGTCTTTTTATATTTTGTCAACATGGCGTATTGTTATAAGCACGTTAAATGTTAACACTTCAATTGAAAATGTAATTCCTTACGTGTTTAACTCTTGGGATTGTCGGATAAGCCCCTATTAGAGATTAAAAAGACGTTATTGGATTAGCTGAATTTTTAAGAAGATAAAGCGAGTTTAGTTTTAATTAGCTAATTGTTTTACTGGGTTTGCTCATTTTACAAAAGTTATATAAAGTGTTCTTTTTGTCATATTCTTGTTATTTTTGTTAAACAAGTTGTTCCCTTTTTAAGAAGATTTTTAGTTAATGTTATTGATTTATAACTCTCGATTTTATTTGGTTGCCTTTCTGACAAATAAATATGGAAGAGGTCGTGCAGAGATTAAAATATAAGCTGAGTGACCTCCTTATCTAAAAAAATGGGTATGTACTGTAGTATGTTGAGTCGTTAGTTTCAGGAAGTGTCGCGATAACGCAGCTGTTTTATCGTGCGTCTGGCGGTATGTAGGTAACTGGGTCTAGTTCAGGCTTCAATGTAAATAATTATACACGAGGAGAAAACATATTAAATGGAATTTTGACAGTCTATAATATCTCACAGATGAATATGAGGGCAGTCATATTATAATATACATATTTATATCGGCTCCTTCTTAAGTGTTTGTAATAGTGAGTACTTATCTATGAGTGTTAAACCACTTTAATAAATCAGTGCTTGGTCATAAAACTTAACCAGTGAGGAAGTTAAATTAACATTGATAGATGTGAGAGGAAGTGATGGAATGTATGGAATGATAATGAAAGTAAAGGGGTTGTATTATGATATGGTTTATGATGGGGAAATAAAAAAGGATTTTAATCAAGGCTAGAGACAACTGGCCCCATTAATAGAAACATAAAAAAGCGGAATGATTAACTTTATATATATCTCTGGTTGTGCCCAAGATAAGACAATTGATGGTAGTGGATTAATGACCCTTGACACTCATTCAGTACATCCATTTCAAGCTTTACTTTAAGTAATTAAGGTCTTCGACACGTAATTCTTAGCTTCATAGGTACAAGGCATGTCAGGCTCAGCCCAGCTCTTGTGAGTTCCCATAACAAGCAATTTATTTAATTGGAATAAATGGAGTTTGCCCATTGGCTCATCCTTGTCAAGATATAGCGTCGATAATAACTTGAAAGAAGTTATCTAATTAACTAATGGTCGTGGTGAATGTGTGTGAGCTAATATGACCTACTTGTAACATGTGGGTGTCATTACGATTTTTACTTTTTTTACCCTTGCTTAGATATGTACGTGCAACGCGTTTAAACGACTAACAAATTAGTTTAAGTTGCGTTAAACCTCAAGGTAAGGCGTTTATCTGATAATAGATATGTTTATATGCGTGTTTAAGCTATTTACCTGTTAAAAATCCTTGTTGGAGCATTTTTTTGAGGTTATGTGGGCAAAAAATTGCAAGTTCTATTGGTAGGTTCGTTGAAAGTCAACTAGTAGTTTGTTTATCCGCATAGCAGCAGTGCCATGGTCACGGGGTTTATCCTACAAGTCTACAAACACACGGGTTTTCTCTTTGTGTCTTACTTCATTAACATATACACAATGTAATGTTTTGTTTCGCTACAGACAAGTGACTTGGCTTAGAAATAATTATTAGTTCATTGCTAAATTAACTTTTTGTTTCCTTTTTGTCCGTATATAGTGACGAGGACAGCCAGAAAAAATCTACTAATTTATGTATTTTTTTGATTGTGTTCTTATTGGAGGTGGAGTAACTAAAGCGATATAATATAAATGTAAATGGATCAGTATCAAGTGAAATTAGTTAATCAAAATGTACGATAGGTTTTAGATTTAAACAGATAATAATATGAGAACCTACAAAAACATTAAACTTGCCTAATAAAAATATAAAATTTACTTGTAATTAGGTATCTAATTAATGCTGTCATGTGGTAGGTAACAATATAAAGAATGTTTGCATAATAACAGTTTGGAATGTAAAAAACTACATTTCACTAGAAACATTTACGTGAACAACGTTTATTTTTAGTGGAGAAATAGTTATCTTTGCCAAACCGTACACATATAGATACTTAAATACATACATTTACTATTTAGTGCTTTCACCGTACCTAATGTTGACACACCTTGAAGGACAATTTATAATTGAAGAGGATAAATATAATAATAATTCTACTCATATTATAAATACGAAAGTTTATGAGAATGTGTGAGTGTGTTTGTGTGTGTGTGTGAGTGTGTGAGTGAGTGAGTGAGTGAGTGAGTGAGTGTGTGTGGTTGTGTGTGTGTGTGTGTGTGTGTGTGTGTGTGTGTGTGTGTTTGGTAATCTTTCACACAAAAACGGCTGAACGTATTGGGATGTTTGGAACAGGTGTAGATTATGGTCTGGAATGACACATAGGCTACTTTTATCCAACGATAACGCGGGTGAAGCCGCTGGCAGAAGCTAGTTG